CGACGTGAACTTTGCATGAAGCAGCTCTGCACGGCTCCGAGTACACAGAGAATGAGATTATTAACAATATAGAGCAGAGGTTAAAAAACATTAATAGATGTAAGGAAAGCTGGACATTTAAATATACGAATATAATGAGGGGGTTTGTACTCTAAAATTACTGACACACGTGTTCCCAGGTCTTTTTCATTTCTTTCATCCGTCCACTGCAGGGCACCAACGTCTGAAGCACTTTAATTGAATTAGCGAGCTGCTCGTTAAGTTTCCAGTTGTGATAGTTCACACTTTATTGTTCACGTGGAACAGATGCAAACTTTACTCGTGCATTGAAAAGTGACTTCAGCTGTTTTGCTCCCGAGCATCGAGAGGCAGCAGCAGTGAGGAAACAATAACAAGCAGTTATTGTGGAGCAGTTTTTAACGGCTCTCTGAGCGGGGATACGTTTCTCAGACATTTATTCTGTTTACATATTCACAGCTAACCAGGCTCCGAGGCTTTTTATTATCTCCATCTTTTTCATCATTATGATATTATCTTTTCCTTCCCGTCGATAAGAGAGGACGGTTCTCTGCTGGACGTTTGAGGCAGAAATAAAATATAGGATTCTGTTTTGTGCTGGTGGTAAATACTTGTAATTATTATAATTATCTACAGTTTATTCCACCGCACAGACTAATCCTGAAACTTCTTCAGTCGGGGTGAAGATCCTTCAGCTCATCGTCGACATGAGACTGACTTTCAGAAACATTCTTCTGTCCCAGGAGAGCTTGTGTTGAAGTCGGGTTCATGTTGGTGTAGTTACCAGCTGCATGATGGTACATTTTGCTGGGTTAGTTACCATCGATTGTGCTTTTCACAATGCATTGTGGGAGCCAATCCACTAAATAGGGTATAAGAACTGAACAGTGTCACTGGTCTGTCAGTGTCCAGTCTTTTCTTTCTTTATTTCACTCGTTAAAGGTTTTTATTTTCTTCCAGCTGTTGAAACGTAACATCCCGCTGACCAGATGTTTTCCTTTGTTTGACCGCATGAGACGTCGGCTGCACGTCGTCCTCCAGACAAACCAGACACGAGCGTCAGAACTCTGCGTCGCTGACATCTGACGCCGTTTTATCTCTGTGCTGCGAAATCGTCCGCGTTCATCGAAGCGTGATTAAAAAAACAACAACAAAGTGCCAGCGTTAATAAGTTCACCCCGTCAGAGCTAATTCAGCCTCACATCAGCTTTGTCGGGGAACAAACAACTGTCGACTCAGCACATGTCAACATCAAATAATCCGCCGCTCAAGACTGAAAACTTATCAGAGGAGAATTTGCTGTGTAGTTACTGACACGGTGACCAGAGCTGAGGCACCTCGGTGTCTCCAACGCTTTCTTGTAAAGACTCAATTACACGCTGGTGCAGAATCTGTGTTACTGCAGCAGCAAACATCCTGACATCACAGGGCATGTTCACGATGTGGTGTAATGGAGATTATTTAGTCTGTAATTAACCTTCTTTATCTCAACTTACCATGAATATTTCACTCCCCACATTCTCAAGGATGCTGTGATTTTTGCCTCGGGCGCCGGAAGAGGCTGAGTGTTAGTTCCCAAAGAATTAGATGGATCTGAACGGATAATTAATTTGGATGATTCACGTGTAGATTAGACCTGAGGCAGTCTGGGTTTTTTCATTCGGTGTTATTATATTTCCTGATTTGATTTCTTTGTCTTGAGCTTGTTTATCTCAGCGTCTCCAGGTGGAACCATCGGGTAGTAGAGGGGGCTAAAGTCAGAAATAGGATTCATGGTCACTCATACGCTAACGTAGCAATGGAAAAACTTTATGGGATAAATATCCATAGATTGAATCTGTCCGCCATGATTTGAAACTCAATGTGTCGGAGGAACACTGAAAAGAAAAGAGTGCAGCAGCTGAGGAGGAAAAAATAAAACTCCCATCAAAACATTAACACAACTTCAAAACGTCCAGTCGTGCAAAAACCTCGTTAACTATGTGACAAGCTTTAAAAGCATTTTTATATTCCATCGACCTTCACTTCCTGTTCACTTCGTTTTTGGTGCGGGGACGGTTGTGTGGTTAAGAAATCCTCCTCCTCCTCCTCCTCCTCCTCCTCCTCCATCCTCTCAAACCACAAACCACTTGTCCAACAACCACTACCACAATCGAAGGCGCACCATCATTTAAAGATCCCTGAATTATTCCCTGTGAGTTCTCTCCTCCCTCCTCAAATCATTTGTGTTGTAAAAACTTCCCCCCGTCGTGTGTTGTTACTCTGAAGTGCCCCCCCCCCCTTGAAGACCCTCGGCTCTGTGTGATGTCAGCAGCGAGTCCTTTCCATCACAGAGCAGGAGAATGAGGCGCCGCTCCTGTAAAGTCTCTGGAGTGGACACGCCGCTTCCTGTAGAGCTGACGGATCAGCTGGGTTCTACCCCCGACTTTGATGTTATGTTTATTTTTCCCTCGGTCGTGTTTTTTCATGATTTCTCTCCTGACATATAAATATGACATTTAATCTGACATTTAATCACTGACCCTTAGCCTCAACCCAATATTAGCTGAATCCCAACCTGAACCAACAATCCATATCCCGCTGATGAATCCAGAAACACTGGTCTGTCCGTCTTTCTGTCCGTTCTCTGGATTTTCTCAGCAACCACTCGACGCCTCGTTTCCTCCTCAGCAACACATCTGCCACATCTGGAGTCGATCGGACCGCAGCACTGACCCCGACCCTCTCTCACTTATTGCATCTGGAGGCTTTGACCTTTTCTACACAACCTTTGTTTCACAGAACACAAAGTGTGCGTGGCCAGTAGGTGGCGGCAACATCTCCATCCACAGTCTGTCGGTGAACGAAGCTGCGGTCCAACATCTTCGCTGCTTCTGAGCGTGTCCATCAAGTTTTAACGTCAAACTTGGCGGGTTCGACTGACATCACAGTGACATCACAGACTGCTGCTTCACTGGTTTGTAAATAGGAGCCATCACCTCCCATCAGGCTCTCTTTTGCAGCGACGCCGCGCACCGACGGACACATTTTGAACGGGCATAAAACAGATTTAGTAGCACCTATAAATGGCGACTGACCTAAAATGACCATAACTCTTCCTCGTGAGGGCGTCGCGTCCTTGTAAAGGTCATTCAAGAGCACACATCAGTGGATGTTTGTTGTTTACACCGTCGCTGGCTTCGTAACGTCGATTTATTTTTAATTTGATCAACATTTGGCTTCACCTGACAGAGGCAGAGGCAGAGGGGGGCGGATGCACGGAGCTCGTGCTGAGGCGCCGAATGCAGAGAGGCTGTAAAAAGCAGGAATCTGTGATGAGCAGCATCTGCAGGAGAGCGGAGGAGTGACGTGGTGCTTTACAGACATCCTGTGGTGAACAGTGGGAACAGCAGCAACACCGAGCGGAGCCGCAGGACACTACCTGCACACGGAGCTGGCCAGCGGCGTTTCATTTGTAGTATAAACCAAAGAGGAGACGCATCCAGATGTTGCTGATGCAGCCATCTGCACGATAAAGCATCAGGTTCCAAACTGACGTTATCATGTGTAATATTAGAACCTGGTGGAGCTCGTTCCTCCACCGCGGCCCAGCGGTCCTCTGGTGGAACCACATTTAAATTCAGCAGGTCGGGAGTCAGGGTTTTTCTCTTTGTTTTGAGGAGATCAGTTTGAAAATGTGTGAACTTTTGACCAATCAGCTGCAAGAGTTGATCTTCATCTGCAGATACACGGTGAAGACGAGAACCTGTTTCCTGCTGAGTCAGGGTGAGAAAGTTCGATCCTCAACATGTGACGCAAACAGCTCCTGAAAGATGGTCTGATTAAAATACGTAAAAAAAAAAAAAAACGGTTTGAAAATTACCCGTGAAGTAAACAAGCAAGTTTAATTTTTGTCTACAAAGTAGAGACATTTAAAACATTGCACAATATATGAATTATGTAAAACGCGTGGCTGTTAAAGATAAGGCA